GGTAGGGTGGATAACTTGATTCAGGTGTACTGAATCAAGTTTGCTGACATACAGAGGAGACAGCACAGGAGTGTCCACTAAACAACTCCTGATGTACACAAAACAACCAAAGGTGTGTGTCCCTCAAATATTCACATGGCCACGCCCCTGGAGTTGTGTATGCACATGCCTTCTTTGCGAGTCACCTGTGTTTGTGTTTTTTGGTATCCTGATTTGTCATGTGTCTCATGATATCCCCCTGAGTCTGCACAAGCTGTTCTGCAAAAGACCACATGACCCAGTGTCAACATTTAAGCCTCATTAGATGTTCTCAGGAGTGTGAATATTTTTTTCTATTGTTAGCCCTGTGGCTTTCTCGCCTGCAGCTGCTATTAACAGAGGTGGTTTTTTTTTTCATTTGAGCAATCTGTCAGGAACTATGAACACCACTACATCATTAAGTATGAAGTTAGATTGTTTGTATTTTTTTAATTCTTATTTCTCATTAATATTATATTTGTATTTATTTTTGTTAATGTTATATCACAGTATTTAACTTTCCATGAATGCTATTTGTTAAAATGAGGACAATTATTTGTTGGACGAATTGTCTAAATGTCTCGAGACTTAAGACAATTTCACACAAAATGTGTAACCACAACGACCCCGGTTTGCATCCAACCAGGGACCTTTGTGTATTCGTCCTCCTGTCTCTCTCTCCCTACATTTCCTGTCCTTCTATCGACTGTACACCATCAGAAATAATTTAAAATAAGTACTTTTTCATGTGGCGTTCTGTGACATTTTCAAAACCTCTTTCAGACGCAGAAAACCAGAACTTCACATAAGTTAACAAACACCTCTTTCACAGATGTTGTGATGTCTATAATAAGTCCTAACTGTGAGTCTGTTGAAATGATAACATCTGACTAAAGCGCCAAGTCATTGTGTGTCAGATACACACCCTCAGATTCTGATGCCATCCCTGTTAAGGAGCGTCTTTGGCCACACTGACGACCTGCCATGACCACCCAAGGCACCAACCTTTTCCCTCAGGCCTTTCGATGACTCAAACCCAGATACACTTGTCTCCTGCTTGAAAGGGTTTTGTTACCTCAGCCTCTCCTGGGAGCATGCTGGTTAAGGCCACAGTCGTCACCACCGCTGCTTTGCAGCTTCCCATGAGCCCTTGGGAGAGACTATTAAGGGAAGATAGGTCTCATAGTGGGAGATGAAGGGCAGGGTGTTATTTTGAGCTCCCTGCTTGTGTATGGAGGTGCATCATCACGTAAAGCAGGGTTTAGTTGGCGGTGTGAGTTTGTCAGAGACAAGGAGGAGGGTTGAATTCACATACGCAGTGCTCTTTAGCATTGAATCATACCCCACTAAACATACTCTACATGTGGTTAAGGCTATATGTGTGCTTAAGAGACTGTGTGTTTGAGAGCACAAGTGAGAAGCTGAGTCTGAATGTGTATGCTTATGCATGAAAATATGTGTGAAAGAGATAGTAAGGGGTGAGATCGGGAGGGTGTGTGTTTCTATGTGTGTGTCTGTGCACATGTGGGTGTGATTCCTGCCTCTCTGTCAATACATGAAGTGCTGCAGGAGTCTTCAAAAGGTTCTTGGATGACGCACATCACAACAGGCAGCACTCGATTCAGGAGGAGCCTCAATGGCATCTCCAGATATGATCATTTACTAACAGTGAAACCAAATTACTGTATTCTGTGCAGTGCATTGTACTGTATTTAGACCTAGAAAGTAATGTAGAAGAAATGTGATCAGATGCAGTCAATTTCAAACACTGAAACCTTTTTTCAGTTGGTTTCTTTACGCAGCAGTTTCTGTGTTTCAGTGTTTCTTTGTTTAAAGCTACCATCTTTAAGATGTCATGAAATCAAACCCAATTTTTTATACTAAATTTGGTCTTTTTCTCTTTTTTCAGGCTGCACACCTCTATTTCCTCAGCAAGGTAACAAACTTCACTGTTCCCTATTGTTCCTGTTGTTGCAGCATGAAATCAAAATGCAGTTGCAATGATTATTTTCGGCTTCTTTATAACAATGTGAGGTTTTTTTGGCCACACTGTAAACAGATACACTTGTTGCTCTGTTATTGTATTTCTGACTGATTTCTGAATACTTTGCTGTAGTTTAAACTGCATTTGATGTTACCACAGTAACCGCAGGTGTCACCAAATCAACCAGGACTGAAATCTTAAGGATTACATCTTTAATGTCCAGTTCAATCAAATGCTAACACACACACACACACACACACACACACACACACACACACACACACACACACACACACACACACACACACACACACACACGGACTAAATCCTAAATGGAAAGAGAGATTCCATGCAGCTAAATTGTTATGGCTGGAGTACTGCTGTTATGTAAAGTGGTATTTATTCATTGCACAAGATGTGTCACACACACTCAGACAATAACACACTGGTTGTGCAGTTTCATACCGGAGTAAATAGCTGCTAAAGTAATTTCATGGGAATGTGTTGTATACAAAGATACTATCAAAACATCAGGTAATGCTGAGCGCACTTTAACACAGTGATGTGATGCATAAAGCAACAAAAACTCAAAAGTAGTGGCTGTGAATGGCTGAATCTGAAACACTATTCAAAGAGTACTTTAGATGCTCTTCTTTATAAGCATTGCTCTAATTATCAATCTGAATTGCCATTTCAGTTTGGTAGGGGTTTGTATTTTTGTTTCATTTTGCTCTATCCAGTCAGTAGCGAGTGACATTTCTGTCCCACTGACGTAGCTGCAGTGGCAGTTGCTCAGAGCCATTAACATTTTTCACAATGACCGAAGAATTATATAAGTTTAAATGTTGTTCTTTCTGTAAGTTGACTTACAACAAACTGTGTCAATTTCATACAAACTAGTTGGTTCCTGTCTTACAAACAATTTGGCAGTAAACATTTTCCTGAGTCTTTAAAGTAAAAACGCTGAACACTTCAAAGATATCGCAGCCTGGCGCCCAGTTAGCTCATTTGCTAGAGCTGGCGACCCATGTACCGAGGCTGAGTCCTTGCTGCCGCGGCCCAGGGTTCGAATCTGACCTGCGGCCCTTTGCTGCGTGTCATTCCCTCTCTCTGCCCCCCTTTCCTGTCTATCTTCAGCTGTAACTATCAAATAAAGGCAATAAAAAGGCCCCAAAAATTAAATTAAAAAGATGTCGCAGCCATTCAACACCATCCAGCATCAGACAGCCCAACCTCCTCCTTTGTCAGCTTTGTTTTGCTTGACGCAAGGTTATCAGTGACATCATCGTAGGACACCTGCCCGCTGGCGTCACAGTTCATACTAACAAGTGTAAGGACAAGTAAGATGTCAAAGCCCTGCCTCTAAATTTCATTCTAGAGGCATTTTGTCTGCGACCTCAAAACATGTCTGAATATTGACGTCAGGCAGCATGACGAGTGTGTGCAGAATTGTAGTGAGTAGCATGGCACAGTCGAGAAATATGTTTTAATGCAGGTTATTGAATATTTTATTTACACCACACACACAAAACAGGGAAAAAATATGAAAAATATATATTTATTATTCATTTATTAAAATATTACAAACAAAGATATTTTTTTGGCCTAGAATGAAATGTACAAAGAAAATTAATAGATTTTTAAACAATGTATTCATCATTTTGGAGTATAATATTCAGCATTTTAATTGAATAAAACTGACTTTAAATTTATGGTTAATTCCTAGCTGGGTTACTGTGTTTGATGGTGTATGTGGTGATGTGAAATATATCTATATATTGGCTGTGCTGCGTCTCACACACACACACACACACACACACACACACACACACACACACACACACACACACACACACACACACACACACACAAACACCCAGAGAGAGACAGACAGAAGCCTATGGGCATAAACACACACATACAAAGCGAAAAGAGAGAGTGAGACAGATGGAGAAAGAGAGATGGAGACAAGCCTGTAGCCACTGGCACACATTCAAAGAGAGAGAGAGAGAAAGAGAGAGAGTAAGCTAAGCCAATTAGATAGAGAGAGCGAGGGAGAGAGAGAGAGAGAGAGTGCAGGCACAAACACAGGGCAGAGGAAGCAGAAGAAAAGAGAGAAGCAGCACACACAAAGAAGAAGCTTTAATATATAATCAAGTGATGACTCATACCTCTTTTGTCAAAACACACATGCACGTGTACACACACACAGACACACACAGACACACACACACACACACACACACACACACACACACACACACACACACAAGCTCTGGCTGACTTTGTCCCCCAGTTCTTTTCAGACAGCAGATGAAGGAGGAAGGCCTGTGGGGACTGAGAAGGCAGGGTGACCCACCACCCCAAATTGTCTTGATATAACAGGATGTGACCCACTCAGCTGACCCTCCAAAATCACAACCTGCCTCAGAGCGTCACCCAATGGGCAGAGAACCCAGCACGTCTTCCTCTCTCCTAACAAAATGTTGTGTATTTTCCTGCCTCCCCCGAGTCAGGCTTGGTCCTGCTCAGTGTGCCAGATGTGGTTGTTTTTGGGTGGCAGAGCATCATCTGATTGGCTGCTTGGGTAGGAACAGACAGTCACTGACTCCTAATTGGCTTGTTTGGTCTGACTTCTTTCCGTACTTCGCTTTAATGACTAATTTGACCAGAGCAAAAGGTGTAATTGTACTGTAAATGTAATGATTCTGGCATTAACACTGTATTTTGTTTCAATCTGAAAAATTATCACAATATGTGACAAAAGCAGGATATAGTTTTGGTTTCAGTCAGGTTGCTTCGTTCATGTATTAAACAAGCCTGATGAAGCCCATTCATTCAAATAAAAGCACACAATTCAGCACGATGCAAGGTTTCACAAAACTGACATATCATCACTTTTAGATTAGACTGAACTTTATCATCATTGCACAGAGTACAGTGGCTGACAAAAAATGCAGTTTACTTATAGCAAACAATTGCTTATTAATACATCCAGTTACGGAGCAAAACTAGTACATTTGGAGCCATGTTTCTGACCATCTGGCAATTGTGTGTCTAATATTCACTCTGTTTTTGGTCTTTACCAACTCCTGAGGGAAATATCCGGCTCTTTAGCTGCTAAATGCTCCACTATGTTCACCAGCAAGTCGCTAACTGTGTCTGATGCTATGAGAGCAGTGACAGTGTACCGGTTTGTTCTAATACTAAAAAAAATCTTATTACTTAGTACTCAACAGGCAAAGAAATATAAAAAGAAAAGACAAAAAGAAGACTGATAATGAGAAGTCACTCCTCCCCCCACAGGGCTTAATATGAAGTAGTGGAGACTTCTTAGAAAACACATCAAATCTTGTCACAAAGGCTTTATTAAGACACACGGTGAGGACACTGCAGTGTTCCCAGTGTGATTCACCCCTCCTCATTTCCTGTTGACCACAGTCAGGGAGCCACAAAGCACCACATGGATCAAGGCGGACAGAGAGCAGACCACTGCAGATCAGAGGCAGATAGAGCGGGCGAAAACGTGACTCCTTCATCATCATGGACACCGTCACCCGGGCTGAGTTCTCATTAGTTGCTGTGTGTGATATAATAAGGTGTGAATGACGCTGGGTGTCAGGCGTTCCAGATCTTACACTGTTACAGTCTAATTGGACTGGTGGCAGCTTTACTCATGTTGTTGTTGTTGTTGTTGTTGTTGTTGAGTGTAGCATGGCTGGTTGGAGGATGCTTGGAGGATGCTTGGAGAGAAGGAAGCATTAAATAACAAAGATAGGTCTTTAATAGTCTTTCACACGAATGCAAACCCACAAAACCTCATACACACACACACTTACGTAGATACAAGCTCAATCGCTCACATGTACACACTTGCTAACACACAAGAAAGTGTAGGCACACACAAACATGAGCTCTAGTTTTACATAAAAGCTACACACTAGTTATTATCTGCACTCACACTAATAGTGTACATACAAACATACATGCACACTCACTCACTCCCTCTGTGAGCTGTGTACCTGCAGCACACAGAGACAACACACTGAATTTGAATTCCACTCACACAATTTTTTTCCCTCTACTGTAAGAGGGGCGAGCGGTACTGCTGGTGGTGTTGACGTAGCAATTATCGTTCTCATGCTCCAGTATTATAGCCAGTCCTAGAGGATTAAGGCCTCAGAAGAAGAAGGAGTTAGTCATTATCCCCGTATGAGCGTCATCTCTATCATCATACCAGCTATCTACTGTGTAGATATGTTAATTGTGGGGTTGGAGCGGAGATAAAAGCTGATAAAGACACATACCTTCACTAACAGAAGCTGTGGGAGACGACAGTGGAGGAAAGTGCCTGCACAGCAGGTGTATTCCTGGAGCTTCCTCTGTGTGAAGCAAGATGCAGCTGACAAAGTGGTGTTGCAGAATAAGACCTGCAACACCACCTAGCATAAATGTATGTAGCCCAACATTTAAAGCCTGTTCCCCCAAATCACAAAAAATCTATATTTTCTCACCATCCTTTTGTGGTATCATGTAATGAAAACAGTTTGTGTCTCAATTCTCTCACACTAATGTTGATTTAAAAAAAAAAAGTAATGTAATTTTTAAATGATTTAGGAGCACCTCAATTGTTTTGTGGTGGCACCAGATGTTTCTGAGGTAGATTTATTTAAAACTGAAAATATCATGACAGCCCATAATCAGGGCAGAGTGATCTGGGTAACTCACCCTTTAACTGTGTCAGGTTTCAGTACATCACACTAGAAAAAATATTTCCTGTTTCTCTTTGCTGTTGCTTGTAGATCAATACACCACTGCAGTAAATTATTGTTGTCTTGCACCTGGAACACATCTTGTGTGACCTTTAAGTGAAGAAGATACTTACACACAGCCAAAATTTCAAAGGTCATGGCCTAAAAAATGCCATTAGTATTTTTCTACCCTTTGTGCATGTAAGCTACACCTCACAATTATTTAGACATAGCTCAAATACAAATAATAGCCCATAGTTTCAACACACAACGGATGTTTGTAATAAAATTACTATAGAAATAATATGATCAAATGTGTCAGAAAAGTAGGCTGATGCTTGTTAATAGCCCCATAAAGCTGGTTTCTCCTGTAAAACCAAAACAGGCCCAGTTGTTTAAAATACCAGTTGCTCAAGTATTTCTATTTAATAAAAGTGAACTTGAACGTATTGACAGACAACCAGCAAATTAAAACTATGTAAGATAGAGTCACAAATCGGGCCATACGGCCATGACAAAAAGGAGGGAGACGCACACAACAAAGCCAATTAACAAATTATTTAATAAGGAAAAAAAACTTAAACTAAACTAACAGTAGTATGTGAAATCAGTAGGATCATAAGGATGTAAGTGAGTGCATGAGTGGAAAAGTGTAGGAGTGCTGTGTTGTAATAACACAATCAAACTATCTAACCTAAAAAACAGTTAGTTGTCTCAGGGAAGAGAGAGAGAGCACTGAGCTCCCAGAGGGTTTTTAAAGGAGCATGGCACACAGGCCTCAGGCGTGTCTTACGACCCTCTGCCACGCCCACTTAAAGTACCTGCACAGAAAACAAGACAAGCCACACAACCAGGAACAGGAAGACAAGGTGGAGTGGGTCGTCACACATAGTCCTTGGCTGAAAATATTGTTCATTTTATTGCACATAAAACATTTTTTTAGTCAAGTCAATTTCATAGTGTGTGAGTTTCCCATTAATTGGATGGATATGTCCATTCATCTGAACTACCACTTATACAAGCTGAAGCCAGTATATTTTAGTAATATTAAATGATAATCCTAATTAAGAAAGTAGATAAATACCATGTAGGCAGTCCTTGTGTATGACTACTACGCTCTGCTGTGGAAACGATGCAGACAAACACATCCCACCTTCACTCCGTCACATGGCTGGGGGCTCGGTGCTCAGCCAGGGAGTGAGATGGAGAAATACTGAGAGAGACAGACTGATGGAGACATGACTGGGCTAATGCTGTGTCTTGTCATACATACCAACAACACTGGTGACTCATCAGCCCCCTCTTTCTCTCTTATTTCACCAGCCACCAGCACATTTTCTCTGCTGCTGTATGCCTTTTTGTCACCTTTTCTCTGTTTTTTTAATGTCATGTGGCTCTTTCTATTGCCTTTCGATCTCTTTCACCCCCCCCACACACACACACACACACACACACTCACACACAAACACACACAGTGTCAGATGCCTGTGGATGACGTGCTGCTGACACTTTCCATGATGTGTTCCTGTCTCAGTGCTGACACATTTGCTGTTGTAATCAGTCCACCGTGCACTTTATTCCCTGTACCGCAAACACAGAGCTACATTCATAAATCTGCTTTCAGAAAAACAAACCAGGTGCACTACCGGTGAATCAGCCTCAGCATAACCAGGTGTGAGGCGGCAGGCCTGTTGCTGCCCTAGAAAAAGGTCTGCATGTTCAGTAAGTCAGCTTTTTTGTATTTGAATGAACGCAGCTCATTAAAGAACGGTTGAGAATTAGCCACTGTGTCTAAATCATAGCAGTAAGATTCCTACCAATATATATCCTCTACGTTCTTTGGTGAGGGACACTATGTGACATGATGTGTTTGACAGAGGGTTGTTCACTCTCTGAACAGGCTTGTGGTTGAACACATCACCTGCCAAACCCTTAAAGTCTGAGTCAACAGCATGAGTGTGGATGATTATCATCTGAGACATCTTCAGGGCAGCTGCTGCAACTAGCTCAGTCCTCTCCACCTGCCATGCCCTTTGAAACTAAAAACAATTCTCCGCCTCAGCAAACCCACTCCTACACGGTAAAGGTACACACACACACATAGAGAAAAAGACAGTGATAGGAAGTTAGATTTCGATTGTCATAGAAACAATGAACTGTGAGTTAGGGTTAGGGTTATAGTACTTTGAAGTACGGGGGTACAAGATGTGACAAATTACGAATATTAATAAAATGGATTCCTGATTGAAATGTAGCAGCAAACACGGAGAAAGAAATGAAAAAGAAAGCAAAAACGAGCCTAACTGTAAAAGCATTTGTGCTTTTACAGTTACAAGGTTGTTTAATTAGTCAAATGGTACAGCATCGTATTTTACCTATTAATAAAGGTAGTTTTTTTTCTACCAAAAATGTTTTGTGCTTGCCAGGGGGTAGATGGCAGAAAACATTTTCAAAAAGGGACACACATTCAAGTTACAGTGAGCTATATTTACTATATCCTGAATGTTAAATATGTGCGTCAAAGAGCGTCCCCCAGCAAACCCACAACGGAACGAGTCCATGACATGTGCACTAGTTTTTGCTTACGGACATGTAAATGATTGTTAAACCACAATGATGGTGATTCATATGCCCACTATCATGCTTCACTGTCACAGATTTATTCAGTGTGGATGAAGAGTGATGAAGCAATGAGACGAGAGGAAACACATTCAAGGATAAGTGAAGCAAGGAGGATGGATCCCTGCGGCCTTCTTCCAAAAACCGTCACACTGCATGAGATGGAGACAGGGACGTGTGAAACAGAAATAGAGTGAGAAGAAACGGGAGAAAGACAGGGAAGAAGAGAGGAGGGTGTAAGAGAAAAAAGGTAAACTAAACGATAAAGAGAAGTACCGAGTCAGTCCTTACATCACTGTAACGTCAAAAATACTCACAGCTAACCTTGAGTGTTCAACAAGGGCAGCATGTCTGTCTAGAGAGTGACATCGTGACAGAGTCAGCGCATTGGAAGTGTGTGTGTGTTTGTGTGTCACCTACATGTGTCAGTGGTTTTTATCTATGTAGATGTGCATGTGTGTGTGTGCGTGCGTGTGTGTGCGTGTGTGTGTGTGTGTAGAGCAGGAAAGTGGAAATGACATGTCACTCCATCAGCAAAGTGCTACTTCCCATTTTTGCAACAATCACATTTAAAGAGACGACGCTCAGCAAAACAGGGGGGGGGGTGGCAGACAAAGACCTTCCCACTTAACCACGCAGGGACGAGATTCGTCATGGCTGGCTATCTGTCACGCTGGGAGGCAGACAGGATGGTATTGAGAGTATTAGGTGAACGCAGATTGTTAGTCATATATGAACCTCTTAATTGTCTCCGACTGTAACCATTACATTTCTTTCCATTAGTTGCATAAGTCACATGATTCATGTAACACAAACTGGTGGAAATCTCTCTAGAAGAAGCAGCTGGTTAAAGATGGCTGGCTGACAAGAAAACCAAAGATATACTGTACAGTGTATAAGAAATATACACCTGGATGCTTTTAAAGCTACAATGTGCAAATTTAACCTTGAGTCCCCTCCCCCATATTGACAAGTACTCCCTGCTCGTTGTGTCACTTAAGCTGCCTGTGCTTGTCAGATGGTATAATAGCTCCAGAACCACCTCCTCTCACATCTTTCTGATGTTGGACTGTGGGGGGGCTGCGTCTGTCCATTTCTGTAAATCTACCATCAACGGCAGTCTTACACCCACTTCATGCTGTGATTGGCCAGCTGTGCGGAGCCCACAAATTTGAACACTAATGCAACACTATAAATGTCATGGCACAGACCAATGTCAGTCCCTCCTCCGGACCGATAGAATCAGCGGCCGACCCCTGTCTACCTACCTACCTGCGTGCCTCCCCTCACTGCACATGAATCTTCCACAAGCTGTCAGGCAAGTTTGGACAAAGCAACAGGTCACCTAGAGTCAACACTGGTGTTGCTTTTCAACAATGACAAAAGCTGAGGGATTATTTATTATTCTATTTATTTTTTCTTGTTGTGTGTAGAACTGTTGGGGGAGTGGCTTTGGGAGGAGTGGGATTTCTTCAGTTGGACACTTTAAAAATCTAGCCATCTCTTGCTAGTTTCTCAAACATTACCTACCCTAGCTTTAAATAGAGTTTTGAAGCATCCCGGTGATAATCTTTTACAATGTTTGAAGTAGGTGAAAACATGTTAATAATGTGTGATCACACAGCTGAAAGCACTTAAGACAACTTCATTCTTCTGAGCTTAAAATCCAGTGGCCATTCTCTATTAAAATTTTGGACGAGCATAAGAAGAACACAAGTGTTCACTTACGTCTTAAGTCTTGGTGTTGATAAAGAAAGACTCCATGTCAGAAAGTGACGTATGATTATTTCTGCTGGGATATTAAACTGGTGATCTAATTATCTCCACCAGCCACAATCTCTAGTTAAATGAGATTCTGATGGGATTCCACTGATAATGTGGAAGCAGCTGTCTCTTCTAGTTTTCCATGTATGTTTGTGAGGCCTGCCGACAGTTTTTAAATTACCTGGTGAATCGCTGAGGAAACGGGCTTCAAAATGCCATGATTGTCTTTGACATCAAGCAACACAGAAGATGAGGAGAAAAAACAATGCAGTCAACGTTAATTTTCTCCTTAATGAAAAAAAGGACACATATAAAAGTAATACAGCAAAGAGAGAGTGTCTTTTTTGACGGTGCAAATACATTTGGGATGCTTGTAAATCTTCCTGAGGGAGACAAAAAGCAATGTTATTGATTTACATGCTCCAGCAAACTCTACAGCCTTCCTTCAAAATGTAACAACAACATACACAGTCCACCTGTCACATCAGGCCTCCCCATCTGCTGAACAGGAAATGTATTTAT